GCCGCAGCCTCGGCTGCCGAAGGAAGAGAGAACAGCGCTCCGCACGCCGTCTTACAGCAAAATGGCGACCCAAGCGCGAGAAAGGCGTCCGAGACAGCGAGGCCAGGGGCGGAGCCTGGGGGCAACTGGCTGGAGAGGGCGTGGCCTGAGAGGCGTGGCCAGAAGGGAGGGGGAGGAGGCCGGAGGTGTGGGTAGAAGTAGGCGTGGTATCTGACGATGTGGGCGTGGCCCGCTGGAGCGGGAGGGGAACCGTGTTGTGGGCGTGGCTCCGCGGGTGGGAGGGATTTTTGCGTGGGCGTGGCCAGACTTGAGGGACGGGGAAGGAGGCGGGGCCCAGGGCAGGCACTCAGACCAAGAGTTTGGCCCGACCTGTGGGCGTGGCCCGCCCAGGAGTGGGAGGAATGAGAGAGGTAGGGGGGAGGGAAGGGAGAATGAGAGTGGGCGTGGTCAGAAGTATGGCGATCTGGCTGTTAAGAGGGATGTGGTGGGAGACGAAAGTAAGTTGGCCACAGGTTGCAAGGATTCTAAGTGTGGACCTCGTGAGTATGAAGGTTTAAATTTATAGATTCTGACTGGGTTCAAGTCTTTCCTGGTCTGCAAACTTGAACCAAATCGCCTCTTTGACACCCTTTCCTCTTCTGAGAAAGGGATGACAGCGGTACCCGCAACTCGTGGGATTGTGAGGACTAAGAAATCCGCAAACCTCTCAGCATGGTTCTTGTCATACAGTCGATACTCAGTTATCATTATTGTTATTGTTATCCTCTTCTTTGTCCCTTTCTTCCTCTATTATAAAAGAATTGGTTCGGTGCTTGGTGTGTATACTGCTTTTCCAGAGGACCTGCGTTTGGTTCCCAGCACCAATATCAGGCAGCTCTCAATGTCCGTAACTCTAGCTCCAAGAGGATCTGATGTCTCTGACCTCCTCAGACACTTGCACTCACTTGTATATACCCACAGAGATATACACACATACGCATGATTAAAAATAATCATTTTTTTCAAAAAATTTGTTTAGGCTCTCACTTTGTAGCCCTGACTAGCCTGGAACTCAGAAATTCACCTGTCTCTGCCTCCCTGGTGCTAGGATTAAAAGTGTGGCCACCACCCTCAGCAAATTGATTGCTGTCGATATAATATCGTCGATAGATATAATATCATTTATAACATAGTAACAAACAAGTAACACAAGCCAGGCATCAGACCATTTACATACATTTATATATAATTTACATCAATGAGTATAAACAGTAACTTTGAGAGATGGGGTAAGACTTATCTCCATTTTAATAGCTGTGGGAACTAAGCTTCCGCTGAAAAGCCATGTACAGACACTACCCACACTGCCTGGCTCTACATGAATACTTAGTGACTCCCATGCCACCATATCACCTCCGGTTCACAAGCGAGACAAGTAGACATTTATTGGAGGGTGTCTAGGTGGCTAGAATATAATTATCAGAAGGCCAACGATGGTTAGAGTTCATTGAGGGGGGCACGTGGGTAGCTAGAATTCACTGACAGTGTGAATGGAAAACTCCTGACAAGAAGCTGTGCCTGCCCGACTGATTGACTAGAATTTCAGTCCTGTGGAGAGAGACTGGGATGTTATAGATCCAGAGGCTAGTTACCTCATCTCAGGCTAGCTCTAGCCCCTCGAAACAGCCATTTCTTGCCCACCTCTGTGTCTGAGCTAACATCTTGTGACTTAATAGAAAGAAACCTTTTGGGAACTATCAATTGATCTGCTGGTGTTTTTTTTTAGCTTTGGGGCTGGTGGAAGGAAGGGTCTAATAAGTTCAGAAAAGTCTCCGCCATCCTGCTGTAGCTGTCTCTCTGATGCCTCCGCCAATGTATTTTAAACTTGACTTAATGACTCTCTTTGTTCTGAAAAACTGTAGAAACGTCATAAAACCTAGAAAATGGAATTTAGGGAAACCTACACCCATGTTCCTGGGCCATGGTCACTGAGAATGGCTCCAGAGGAAACTGTCTTCGTAAGATGAGAGCTAAGGTTTCTGTGTTGACAGAAGGCAGGGGAGCAGAGAAGCTAGAATTCATTGGACCTAGATTGCACAAGGAGCTGGGAGAATCAAGTCGTCTTAGATGAACATGTTATTTTACAGGCAAAGCATTTCAAGCTCTGCATTCTAAATTAGGTGAAGGCCCTACTTCACAGGCGAGGTTGCTAAATAGTCTTCTTTGCTCAACAGTTTTCATGAGACACACAGCTCTTGTAAGTGGAAGGACCGGAGTTGGCACAGGGCACACCAAGACCAAGTTCGCAGCACAAAGGAGATCGGTTTGTCCTAGGGGGACGGAGGGCAGGAAATAAAAGGCAAAGGCGGAGGACAGAGGATGAAGAAGAAGGAAAAAGGAACAAGGGAGAGGGGAAGGGATATTTACCCCAGGGATACCAAGGACTGTCTCTAGACAGGGAGGAGACAGACATGACCCACAGGCAAATGGAAGTTTATAAAGGGGAAGGAGGAGCCCCTGGGTTAGGATGGGCTGGGTTTTTGGTTTTTTTTTTTTTTTTTGATTGGTCATGCAAATTAGGGTAGTCAAAAGGGGGCTTTTGGTTACTGGACTTTTGATAGCTGGACCTTTCTTCGTAGTCAGCATCAAGAGGAGGAAGTGGCCAAATTAGATCTTGGTGACTAGCTTTAGGAATGTAATCTAACGGTTCTTAGCATGGGGAAGGGTAAAGGCAAAACCTGTCAGCACCATGTTTGCCATGTTTGGCCTGCCAGAGGCCTTCAACAAGGCCTGAGAGGTCGCATTTGCAGGATTCACTGACGCCTCTTCTATAGGACACTTTAAAGTATTATGTAAATTGTTTTTTTAACTTTTGAGATGATATAAACTATGACATTTCCCTCTTTACTTCCCTCCCTCCACACCCTTCCGTGTCCTCTGCCTTGCCCTTTCAGTTTCATGTCCTCTTTTGTTCTTAATTGTCCTTCGTGTGTGTGTGTGTGTGTGTGTGTGTGTGTGTGTGTGTGTGTGTTCCTAAAAGCATAAAGACAGTTTATACAGGATTTTTGATTGATTGGTGATTGATGGAAACAGGCTCTCAAGTATCCAAGGATGACCTTCAACCTATGATCTTTCGAATGCCGGATTTTCTGGCTTCCTCTTGAGGTGAGGCAGATTTTACTCCGTCCCTCATTTGTTGACGTGCATTTGTTGGGGTGTGGATGGAACTGACCAATCAAGGCAAGTCATCCCTTTCAGCTCGGTGGGTTGCTCCTCAGCGGGGGCAGCCGGCTAAGCCAATCGCCACTCAGGAGCCCTGCGCTGGCCCTGCTGCGAAGGCTCCTCCTTTACAGCTCACAGTCCGGAGCCACCACCGATTCTTCGCCGGGACGGAAACCCTCAGCGGAAGACCGAAGAGGAAGTGGGTATGCAGACGGCGCTCAGTAGAGCTGACGCAGAACTCTGAGATCAGCCCACCCTGGACTGCTCCGAAGCCAGCGTTGGTTTTCATCCCTGTGGATACTCAGCCTGAAGCCTGATCTTCCGTTCCTGCCCTGAAGGCACGCACCCCCTTCTGCTGTCCACTCCGCCCGCCCGCCTGCCCGCAACTCTCCCTGCCACTTTATTTCCACACAACTGTTCCCTTTGTGTCGTCTAAACCAAGTCCTTCACAAATAAATCAGTCTCGGCCTGGAGCCACACCCACATTCAAATCGTTCGCGTACTCAATAATCCTTTGTGGCAAATGTTTGGGATTTCTGGTTTTTTGTTTTGAAGGATCCGCATTTACATAGTGAGGCACCTGAAGATCAGGCGTAAGTCTAAACTCAGAATTTACTTTTATACCATATTTTAAATGTAACTTTGTGTGTGAGACAAAGTTTTTTACCCCACAGGTAATATTTTTTATTGATATTTATTGAGCTCTAAATTTTTCTCTGCTCCCCTCCCTGCCTCTCCCCTCTTCCCTTCAACCCTCTCCCAAGGTACCCATGATCCCAATTTACTCAGAAGATCTTGTCTTTCTATACTTTCTACTTCCCATGTAGATTAGATCTATATAAGTCTCTCTTAGCGTCCTCATTGTTGTTTAAGTTCTCTGGGATTGTGGTTTGTAGGCTGGCTTTCTTTGCTTTATGTTTAAAAACACCTATGAGTGAGTACATGTGATAATTGTCTTTCTGTGTCTAGGTTACCTCACTCAAAATAATGTTTTCTAGCTCCATCCATTTTCCTGCAAAATTCAAGCTGCCATTATTTTTTTCTGCTGTGTAGTACTCCATTGTGTAAATGTACCACATTTTCCTTATCCATTCTTCAATCGAGGGGCATTTAGGTTGTTTCCAGGTTCTGGCTATGACAAACAAAGCTGCTATGAACATGGTTGAACACGTGTCCTTGTGGCACGATTGAGCATCCTTTGGATATATACCCAGAAGTGGTATTACTGGAGTTTGAGGAAGGTTGTTTCCTAATTTTCTGAGAAATTGCCACACTGACATCCAAAGGGGCTGTACCAGCTTGCATTCCCTCCAGCAATGCAGAAGTGTTCCCTTTTCCCCACAACCTCTCCAGCATAAGTTGTCATCAGTGTTTTTGATCTTGGTCATTCTTTCAAGTGTAAGATGGAATCTCAGAGTTGTTTTGATTTGCATTTCTCTGATGACTAAGGATGTTGAACATTTCCTTAAGTGTCTTTCAGTCATTTTAGATTCCTCTGTCGAGAGTTCTCTGTTTAGGTCTGTACTCCTTTTTTTTTTATTGGATTATGTGTTCTTTTGGTGTCCAATTTCTTGAGTTCTTTGTGTATTTTGGAGATCAGACCTCTGTCTGAGGTGGGGTTAGTGAAGCCCATTTCTGTAGGCTGTCGTTTTGTCTTGTTGACCATATCCCTTTGCTTTACAGAAGCTTTTCAGTTTCAGGAGGTCCCATTTATTAATTGTTTCTCTCAGTGTCTGTGCTGCTGGGGTTCTATTTAGGAAGTGGTTCCCTGTGCCAATGTGTTCAAGTGTCCTTCCCACTTTCTCTTCTATAAGGTTCAGTGTGACTGGCTTTATGTTGAGGTCTTTGATCCATTTGGACTTGAGTTTTGTGCATGATGATAAATATGGGTCTATTTTCATTCTTCTACATGTTGATGTTGGGTCCAGGGGGTTTGCTCAAAGATGAGAACACCACTAAGTCTAATAAACCAGAAGCAAAATTATTCCAGAAACCAGATCCTAGGACAACCAGAAGCAAACTTAAAAAAAAAAAAAAAAAAAAAAAAAAACGCCACAGGGCACAAAAGCTTATCAGCTAGCTGAGACCACAGCCAGAGATGGTATTTGTTAGGCTGTGGCAAAAGGCTGGTTTCCGAACCCACCTTTTATAGTAGGGACACCAAGCATTAGCTCTGAACAAAGGAATTTTTTAAAGGCTTTTT